TTGAAACTCCAATACTTTGGCCACCTGATGTGAAGAACTAACTCACTGGAAAAGACCTTGATGCTGGGAGGCGAAGGAGACGACAGAGGTTGAGATGGTTGCATGCTATCACCGACTCAATGGACATGAGTTTGAGCAAGCTCTGGGAGTTGGTGATGGATAGGGAATCCTGGTGTGCTGCAGTCCATGGGGTCGCAGAGTCGGACACGACTGAGCAACTGAACTGAATCATACTTTAACTCTCGTTTTGGTCAGTGTGTTCACCACAGTGCTCCTTTTACCCCTGCACAGATGTCTCAGTATGCTCAAGGCTACAGTTGAAGTTAGATCCTGTTTCTCATTCATGTAGCCTTTCAGGGCACTCTTTTGGGTTTGAAATCTAGATTCATTCACATTCTGACTTTGCATCATTTTTACCCACTTGCTCCCCGACTGATACCTTAATGGAAAAGGTAGATCAGACACTTAAGTAGTGTGCTTTCTGGAACCCTAGCAGGATTGCGCTATGATGAATTTAGTTACAAATCTGGGCTTCCTACTGCAGACATGTTGATAGACTATGACCAATAGTCTGAAGGGAATGTACTTCCAGATAGTTCTACTACTTTATATCCTAAATCAGGAGTGAGGTTTTCCATCTACCATAGTTCCCCTCTATCCCTGAAGCGTCAGCCACCACACCCCCAGAAAACTTGAAAGAAAGTTCAAAGCTCCACTCTGTATTTCACTGACTGACCACTAGCACAGTTCTCCAGTGTTCTCTGGTCTGAGCCAGAACATTTTCTTCTCGAATTAATGTCCACTTCCCAGTTGATAATAGAACTCCCATTCTTGAGAATGGGCGTTTTTCCTACTTACCTTTTGTACTTATTTCATTCTGTTTGCCTTAGCCCCGTGACTTGTGTCATTCCTAAAGTGCTCTTACTGACATAGATTCAAGTGCCATAGCACTCATTAAATAGTTGATTGCACTTGCTTATTCAGCACTGTAAGTTTATTGGGAACAAGGGCCCTCTCTCCCCCATCACTGTATCTTCAAGTTTTAAAACCATGCCTATCACTCAGGGGGCACACAGATATTTGCTGAATAGGTAAATGTGGGCATGTAAATAGGAGCTCTGTCCTGTTTGCCCTTCGTTGCCTGCTCCCTGATTTTGTCCCCCTGTCCTGCACTATCTCCGGTCTCTTCTAACCAACCTGGCTCCCCATGTCATTTCTGAACATCATGGCAGTTTTGCCCAGGTAGACTTACATGATTTTTATTTCCTTGACTGCAAAGAATTGGAGGTAAGATAATTATTGCTATATCCCCTTGTTTTACTGAAGGCCCAGAGAGGTCAAGCGAGTTGCTCACACGCAGGAATGGATCTGTATGTCTACATAATTGCTACACCTGTCCTGTGCCTTGGCAGATTTACATCTTTGGTGGGATGCGGCTAGTAAATGTTGTCCAGGAGCCTCTCACAAGTCTGTATTTACTGTGCCCAGGTTTCTTAAGCATCAGAGCCAGTCTAATAGTATTTCTCAGTTCTTGGAGCGTAATCAGGTGTCCCTGCCCCTGCGCCTTCCCTAGCCCTCAACACTTTATTTTCTGGTAATGTGATTACACTCAATACAGGGAACTGTTTCTCCCAAGTTATCCCTTCTTATTCTTAAGTAGGAATTATTTCCCAAGTCATGGAGAAGGAGCTTTCAGACTTCTGCATCTAGCTATTCAGTGCCCGAGACTTTTGCCCCAACTTTTAATTTCCTTCCCGTGCCAAAGGTCCTGGTTTGGCCTTGCCTTTCTCAAGAACAATGGCTAGTGCTTGATTGAAGGAACCTGTCAGTCAAGCAGTCTTTGACATTTGCTGTACCACAGAAGATTAGATAACTTGAGAAAGACTAATCCCAAAGAAATAGTAATGAGGTCCTAACAAGTTTATTGGAGTGAGATTAGTAAGAGAATGAATAAAAGGTGTAGAGTGCAAAATCACTTGATTGGGTGTTCAGTAAGAGATGGAGTCAGAATTAACAAACGTAGTGCCTGGGTGATCAGGAGAATAATAACACCCTTAACAGAGTGACAGACAGACAGACATGGAGAAAGAGCACATTTAGGAGGGAAGATAAACTCAGCATGGGACATAATGGGTTAGACTTCATGGAACTTAAGTTTGCATTGAGCAGGCAGTTGGGAATATGAAGCTAGAGTTTGGGAAAAAGAAGTATCCATAGCGAGCTGATTTCAAAGTCACAACCTTTTCATTTATGTAGAGTGAGGATGAACCGAGCTTTGGGATGCATGTCCATTTAAGGAAGGGAAGGGGTGAAAGGTCTAAAGTTTGGGCGCTTATGTCTTTTAAATAGAAGTGGGAATGGGAAGTGGGGCAGACTGAGGAAGAGGACTCAGTGGGGTAGGGCAGAGTAAAGATTCAAGAAGAGGAGTGGAGAAGCAAGAAGGGCTTTGAGCTGGAAGTACCCAGCCTCAACAGGAGTGAAGAAAAGTATGGAGACATGTTAATGAGAAGAGGGAAGTTGAGGCAACTTGTGTCCCAGAAAGAAAGCAATGTCCCTGGAGAATGAGGTGGGCGCAGAGGGACTGAGGGTGTGAGGGAGATAAGAAGTCCTAGAAGGAGGAGATAAACATCATGAGAAAAATGGTGTCTCCTGCAGCGGAGTGCGAGACTCGTGGGCCCACAGTGAGCAGGGTGGCATGCCCTGGGACCAGGCAGGCAGGGTTGGTGGTTTTTCTATTCTAATATCAGCAGGGTTTTGTTTTTTGTTTTTTTAAATTGGAGGAAAATTGCTTTACAGTGTTGTGTTAGTTTCTGCCATACAACAAGAAGAATCGGCCGTGCATAAGTCGCCTCCCTCCTGAGCCTCTCTCTCCTCCCCGCATTCCACCCCCTCAGTCATCACATAGTGCCAGACTGGGGTCCCTGTGCTATACAGCAGCTTCCCACTCGTTACCTGTTTTACACATAATAGAACATACATGTCAATGTTACTTTTCCCATTCGTCCCACCCGCTCCTTTCCTCGCTGGGTCCGCAAGTCTATTCTCTATATCTGTATCTCCGTTGCTTCCCTGCAAATAGTTTTCATCAGTACCATTTTTCTAGATTCCATATTTATGTGTTAATATACAATATTTGTTTTTGTCTTTCTGACTTACTTCACTCTGTATAACAGGCTCTAGGTTCATCCACCTCACTACCACAGACTCAGATGTATTCCTGTTTATGGCTGAGTAATATTCCATTGTATATATGTACCATATCTTCTTTATCCATTCATCTTTCTGTGAACATCTAGGTTGCTTCCCTGTCCTAGCTATTGTAAATAGTCAGCATTTTGGGATTTGAAGCAGGACTGAGTGGTGGGAGACAGTGGAAAGGAGTCTACCGTATGGAGTATCTGAGCATGACATCCAGGTCAAAGAGAAGATATATGAGGGTCAGGTTGATCAGTAGACAGTGAGAAGGGTGGTGTTCAGGGGCTGGAGATGACAGTGAGGACAGAGGGTGGATGTGCACAAAGGTAAGGATGAGATGAGATTTGGTCTAGGGTGAGAAATAGATCAACATGTAAGTTTTCATCAACCACTTTGGAACCTGCAAATCATTGCTTTTTTTCCCCTTTTTCTTTTTTAAATGAGCATTCCTCCTGCCCTACGACTGCAGTGTGGTTGCCTGTTTTTAATAGTTGATGGTCTCTCTCCCAGGCACCGTCCGTTTCAATTCTGTTTTCTTCTCTTCCCGTTTGGCTTGAACATTCTGAGATTTCCCATCCTCTCCTGTTCTGAGGTCAGGCTTCTAACGCCTCTCATCTTAGTCTAGGTCAGTGACCCTCAACCTCGCTGCACACTGGACTCTAACTGAGGAGCTTTTTAAAAACATACGGGTGCCTGGCCCAGCACAGAGAATCTGATTTAATTGGCCTGGGAATTTGTTAAACTCCACAGGTGATCTTTGTACATGTTTCCCCAACCAGGTGTTCTCCCGGGTGAAAATAATGACTCCAGTTGTGTTGCCCGCACTAGGAGCTACCTGATGAGCCCAGACCCACCCCTTCTCTAACCATGGCAGTACTACAAGTGTGGCTGCTCATGAGGACTCCAGAGTCTGATGCCTGGATTCCTATCTCAGCTCTGTGATCCTAGGCAAACTCTGAATTATCTAGACTCCTCAATTTCCTAATGTGCTGATGATGGGGAATAATAATGCCTACAAAAGGCTAAATTCTCAGCATGTAACATACTTATTAGCACAATGCCTGCCACATAGAAGTGCTCAACATATATTAGTTGTTTTTGTTAATATTTGTGTTGTGATTGCATTAGCTCTTTTTCTACTATGCTGTTTTTCCATAGGACCACATAAATTAATTTCTTCCACATACTATTTTGTGCCTCTACATTGTTCCTTGATGGAAAATCATAGGCTGTCTTTTTTCTAAATTTAAAAAATAATAAAGCTTCATGACTGTGATGATTACAAGTAGCAGGACTTGTGTTACAATGAAAGTTGGCAAAGATTACTTTTCTAAATGTTTAGCTTAGTTTCAGTTTGCTTGGTAAGAGAGTGGCCACAGGGTGGCTCTGTCAAAAACCTGCAGATTTCTTAAAGACTGAGTGTGGACTATGATTTTTCGAGAAACTCACTCTGGCAGGAACCTGCCCAATGGTAGTTCAGTTATATCTTGCTTTTTCTCAAAACAATTTATGCAACACCATCACAGTATTTTTCACATGTAATTATTGTTTTAAGTGTCTTTAAAAATAAAGAAAACATAATCTGCCCCTTACGCCTACCATTCTGCCTGGCAGTTCCTTGGTGGGGTAGTCCCACCTTTCTGATCAGCTGTCTGCCCCCACTGCAAAGTGATTGTTCCAGAGGCCAAAACTCTTGCTAAAAACAACATTAAACGTAAAATGGACATTAACATACTTGCATTTACAAGCGGTGAAATTTGTCATCTTCGTGTTGTTATTTATGCAGCATTAACCTTTTTCTCCAGATCATTGAGACTGAAAATATGATGGACCGAATTGTGACTGGCTTGTCTGAGTCTAGTGTCAAGGTGCGGTTAGCTGCCGTCAGGTATGAGCTTTAAATGGCCTGAATAAAAATCCTTTGCCATGTGTTTAACCTGTTTCCTTTCCGGACCTTCACCGAGTAAGCACAGAATCCAAATGTTACTTGACAGTATTCTCAGGTGAATTCTCAGTGTGTAACACTATTTAACAAAGAAGTTAGCTTGAAAAGCCCATGAAGTCCTGAAGTAGTTGAATTAACGATATGTGTAGATAAACTTGAAATGTATTTAGTAATTGTGGAATGCCCAGCAGTGTGTTTTAAAAGGAAAAGTTTTGGCTTCTTGTGAAGCTAATTTTGATTATTCTTTGTAGATGTTTGCACAGTTTATCTAGATCTGTGCAGCAGCTTCGAACCAGTTTCCAGGATCATGCTGTGTGGAAACCTTTAATGAAGGTAAGAAAACATCAAGTCCACACCTATTCCCGCAGAGCCATTAGTGGGCAAGGTAGCTGACAGCTCTCCCTGATCTAGGAGTGTGTCTGATTTTTATGTTAAAGCGTTGTGAACATTTATCTCCTCAGATCTGATGTTCTCAGCCTCTTTAGAACATGCGGACTGTGTTTCTGAGGTCAGCATCTCATGTGTGACAAAGGAAGTAGGCAGCTGGCTTTCTTCCATTAAATAAAACTTCAGTTACTCATTGATCTCCCTTTGTGACTAGTATTACACTTTAGACTTATATCCAGAGTCATCTTTGTGATTTTTAGTTATAAAAAAGAAAGGAATCAGCCATTTACAGATATAACCTGTTCTTATTCTTTTGGCACTCCCTTAATATTTTTTAAAAGTTGTTACTTCCTGCCTCTCCACTCCAGAAAGACTTCTTTGTTCAGACCTAATGGTCTTTCCTTTGAGGGTACACACACACAAAAGGATGGTATAGGTCAAAGAATTTTCTGAATTGAGACTTAGAATATGCATCAGGTTTCTGCTAATAATGTTATTTCTCATACATTACAGAACGACAGGTCACTGTGGTCTCAGTATCTTTTTTCTTTTTTTTTAAAGCAACTGTATACTTTGCGTTTGATCTGCGGATTTTTTTTGTCTAAGTTTTTGGCTTTTTGTTTTGCTTTTTAGTACCTACTGTGAAAGCCTCTGGGCACAGTAAGTCTACCAAAAATTTGTACTCCAGAGCTCTTGCCCTCAGCTTAAAACCTCGGTTACAGTAGAGGCTTCTGTGTGGTAGACTTAGTCAGAATAGCTGGGGGAGGCTTCTGTCAGATTATAAAGTGACTTTGAAGGCAGAAGGAAGGCAGGAGGATTTCCTCAAGAGGAACAGCCTGAAGAGCAGGAGCATTACACGTGGTGTGTGAGGGAGGACTGAGCTCGCCTTCAGGACTGTGGTGGAGGGTGCACAGTGGGCACCAGCTGGAAGGGTTGGACCAGTGCTCTCCCCAGGAAAGGGATTTTACTGTTGCCACTCTTTCTTGTTCTTAGATTGCACCTTTTTTGTAGCAACTTAACCTTAGTTTATTGATTCTGTCCATTCAAGATTTTTTTTAAAGTGCTTTCCTATTTCCCAAAATAACTTCTAGATATTTTCTCTGGAGCCATTTTCTGATTGCTTAGCTCAGTACCCCTCTATCATATGAATCAGAAATGGAGCAACATGTGGTTTCTGACTAGTTCTGCCTGGGCACAAGTTGGGTGAGCAGTCTAAAAGGATTTGTGCACTTGGGTACATGTGGGTGTAATTACCATCAAATTATTACTGTGTTGCACATTTAAAGTATAGTATTAAAAGCCTGAAAGTAAATGAATGATTTATTTCAGGTGCTTTTAGGTTTTTCTTAGTTCAGAGATTGCTTGCATGTCTATTGATTCTTTTCCCCCTTTTTCTTGTCTGTGTTTTTACGTGTTGATTAGCCAACTATAGGAGAGTAGGCATTCAATTTTAACTAAAACTTTCATTTGTGGATTATTTTTTGTTCTTTTTTTGGTGAAATTCTGTTTGGTCAGTGTTGGATGTCAGCTTCTAAATTTCATGTGTTATATCTGATACTGTACTGAGTAAATGCTTTCAAGAATTTCTTGAATTTTTCTAGCATCCCTTCTGTTTTATCATTTAGTGTTATCTAATTTGAGAATAAAACTTGGTAAAAGCACATGAATCTCTGTAAAACAAATAATATTTTTTAAAATGAATCATAAAAGTAAAGCAACTTTGTAAAACAAGTAGTAACTATTTACTAATGGTTCTTTTAAAAAAAATACACATTTTGAAAGTCATTTTTTTTTCTTAACAAGGCACAGAATGTCCCCTCCTCCTAAAATACACTACCCTGCATTCATATTATTGTAAATTCCTGAACACATAGACCAGAAACAAAGCAACTTTTTAAAGCCTTGTTTGGCACTCACTTATTTCAACCAATGATTCTAAGTAGTATAATTTTGGAAAATCATTATTTCTCTTAATTCATAAGCATTCTTTGAGTGCCTACTTTGTGCGGTGCCTCTTAGGCCTGGATAAATTAAACTATAGATATTATTATAGATTATTTTTTCAAAAAGCTTTAGTTTGTAAGTAGGAAAGGAGATTGGCAGGGCTGCACAAAGAATTTGAGTAGTGGACGGTAATACGGGCCCTAAGAAAGGTCACAGACAGTAGCAGTGGACACTCAGGAAGATAGAATGACTTCTTTTTGGAAGGGTTTCAGGAAGGCTTCTGGAATAAGATGACCTTAAAGCATGGATAGAGATGTAGGAAGGACATGACAAGGGAAGGGAAGGGTGAACAGGGTCTTAGGGTAGATTATGGCGAACACAGAGATTGGCCAGCATAGTATATGAGATTTGATCTTTATCATCCAGCTAACAATTCACAGGAGAGTTAAAACACAGTATTTTAGGAGAATTGCTTTGATTTTGTAATTCTTGTTTGTTCTTTACATGGGAACTTCAGACTTGATTTAGCTGCAGAGAGCAGATAATCATTTAACTCTCTGAATTTTTTTTTTAATGATCCATTTCCATTTTGTGTAACTAGAACTCCTAGGATTCCTTTTGGGGTCATAAGCCTGATCCTGGTCTGATTCCAAGTGCAAAGGATTTCTTTGAAGTGCTGCTTATGAAGCCTTCTCTCTTTGAATCTAGAAGGAAGGGGTTCTGATAATAGCTAATGGCAATTAACCTTTGTCATCATGCTGTGTTGTCTTCTCTAAGTTCAGCAAGAGTCCATGATAGTTTGCTGTATAACTTGTATGAGTCTGATATTGTGCCTGGTAGCAATTATGGCAAGGAGTTACCTTTTTTAAAACCTTGCTTATGTATAGCCATTACTGTGTGATAGTTACTGCTCTAAAATCCTTTTATGTATTAATTTTCATACAAATCCCTGAAGCAGACTCTGTTATTATCCCATTTTACAGGCAAGAAATTCATAAACTTATTAAGTAATTGAACTGAAATTTGCACTCAGGCATTCTGTGTTCTCATTTCCATGCTATGCCACTTCCCTTATTATTCAGCAAATGACATTTAATCTTAAATATTCCCATCCAGGAAGTGTTGTTTTCTTCAATGTGAGGTCTCAGAGAGGTTAGGAAATGTGCTTAAGTTCACATGTCTGGTAACTGGAGGAGTGACGGTTGGAGCCAGGACTACGTGACTCCAGTCCTGAGGACCAATCCTTCACCTTGCTCTTCCTGTGTCATAGTTTGATCCATCCACATTGCTGTTCAGACAGGTCCTTCCAGAAGCAATGGAAAGGCTCAGGCCCTCGGGCAGTTCTGTGGTTTCATAAGTGCCTGATGTGGTAGAATCAATTGGATTAACTTGCCTCAGAGCAGTTCTCTGGTCTTCTAACTTTTTACATAGAGCACCCCATCCCTGACTCGTGTCTGTCTCCTTTTCCGTGTAGCGGTGAGCTGTAGTTCTCCAGCAAGACAGACCTGAGGGCCTCAGTCAGTCATAATGACACCACTAGGCAAAGTCTCACTCAGTCAGTGTCAAGTGGATCTTTCCTCTCTCTCCAAGATGAGAACTCAGATCAAAAGATAAATTGTTTTTGTTTTCATTTATTCTAATGATTTCACCTGCATGATTGCAAACTATTAATAGTATCCTTTTTTTTAATTCCGTAGGTTTTACAAAATGCACCAGATGAAATCCTAGTAGTAGCATCATCCATGCTATGTAATCTTCTTCTTGAATTTTCTCCAAGCAAAGAGGTTAGTGTTGATTTTCTCTTCCTAGATGACTTCTGCCCAGTCTAGAGCTTAGTTAAATAATTTTCACAGTAGTTGACATTAAAATTTGAGGATTGGGGTTTAAAACTACTTCTGAATTGTTTGGATGTTGGATGTTGAGGGGGGATTAAATTAATTTTAAAATATAGTTGTCATTCCCTGTTATCCCTTCTCTGCCTGGCATATACAGTTTATTTTAAAGATATTATAGCTTATAGTCATTCTGAACTGTCTAAAATTGTAAATGTAGAAAATAATTACACAAGTCATAGACTATTTTCAAATTATATTTATTAAAGAATAAATTAAGACCCAATTTTGTAAACCGAGATTACGTATCATTGTAAGGAGATAACTGCTGGCCCTGAAAAGTAATCTTTTTTTTTAAAAAGCTTTATTTTGAAAAGTAATCTTTTTAATGTTAATGGTACTTACTTAGGGAGGGTTTACCTTTGGGATTTTTTTCCCCCCTTATATGCATTTTATAAATTGTTTGTGCATGCATTGTTTTTATGATAGAGAAAATGGAAATAAAAAGTGGAACTCAGCTTTAATAAAGGGACGAGGTTACCTGATAGAATTAGTTTTACAGTGTTGCAGCAATATCTCTGGCCTGCCTAATCATGAACTAAGTTTGGACACCATCCGTTATTAAGTGCATTTAGTGTCCCATTTTGGTGAATTTCTTTCCTGCACTGTAATACTTCAGGCTTTGGACCGGTATTTAGGAAGACATTAGTAATGAGGTGGCGGTTCAGAGACCATCATTCAGCAAGTAGAAATCTTGGGACAAATTGGGAGAGACTGGTAGTTGTTCTGAAGGAAGGAGAGGCAGGATAGGACACCAGAGCACCTGTCTCTGCTGAGGATGATGTGGTTGCAGTCAGTGTGATGCTTTTAATCATCCTGAACAGCTACCTTCAGAATATTTAGGGTCTAGCTAGAAAGGAAGGTAGATGGGCTCTGGGGTAGAGTCATTAATATGATTGATTTTTTAGTATTAAAAATAAACTAGATTCTTAACTGGAAGGGAAGGAAATGGTATAAGCATTAATTGGGCTAGTTGACACAATTGGAATATGGACTATAGTTTCAATAAAGGTACTGTTTTACTGTCAGTTTCTTTGAATTTGGTAACTGTTCTGTGGTTATCTAAGAGAATATCCTTGTTATTAGGACATACTCATTGAAGTATTCAGGGTAAAGTGGCATGATGTTTTCATTCTACTTTTAAATGGTTCAGAAAAAGGATAAATAATGTGGATATGGGTGTATAGAATGAGAGACTATAATGATAAAACAAATATGGCAACATGTTAAAGATAGGTGAGTCTGGGAAAAGAATATATGGAAGTTCCTTAAATTGGTCTTGCTACCTTATAAGTTTAAACTTATTTTAAAATAAAAAGGTTTTTAAAACTGTACAGTTTGTACTAGTAAAATGTATCTTTCTTCAAAAATGTCATCTTGAAAGGCACTGACCTTTGTCTTAGTATGCAAGTCTGAATTGCTTAAGACATTTCTAGAACCCACTTCAAAAATAGACCTTTTAAGCGTTCATTGGTGATGGTAAATCAGTCCTCTAAGATTTGAATTTTTTAGAAACTATCAAAACCTATTATCAGCCAAGTATCATAAATAAAGCAAATTGTCAGACTAATACATGCTATTTTAGGTATTAAATGTGTCACATTTAATACCTAAAATATTTGGCTTAATATTTATACCTGTACTTGACTATAAAAGTACAAGACTATTTTGCTTGTATGATTGATAGGTAGTCCCGAAAGTAGTTTCAAAAGCTGAATTCTGCAGCACATTGATGAATAAGAGTAACAGTTTGGAAAGAAGTTAGTTCTGTTCTAAACCAGCCATGTCACTTCGTAGTCACAGTTTGTGAAGAACACTGGGACACATGCTGCACAGAGCAGGGAGTGGCTGTTTCAGAGGAGGGTGGGGAGAGTGTGGAACTAGGTAACGGATCATAAGGGCAAGAGTGAATGTACACAGAAGTAGGATATCTCCTGAGTCTTTCAGGACTACAGGAAAAAAGACAACAGGCTTTACTTTGGCTTTTGGATCTGTGAGAGGGTCATTGTCCCTACGCTTGCCCTTCTCAAGGTGATTTTTTGTGGCCATCGCTCCCTGCCTTGTGAAGTTTGCTTGGAATTGGTAAGAGGAGGAAAGAAATCATAGGCAGAGTGCCAGGCTGTGTGTATTATATACACTTCATTTACAAACCTGACTTTAAAACTGTTTTTTCTCCTTTCCAATCACAGCCAATTTTAGAGTCAGGAGCTGTAGAGCTACTTTGTGGACTAACCCAAAGTGAAAATCCTGCTTTACGAGTGAATGGAATTTGGGCTTTAATGGTATGTTTCACAAAGAGGAGAAAGCAGTTACTGAAGTTAAAACTGAAGAATGTGTTATTTGAAATGTCTGAAATTTTCTTTTTTAAAAATCTTAACTCTTTTGGCTCAATTTTCTAAAGACTTAGGACCTAAAAGATTTCATTCACCTTTCAGATTCGAATATAAGCAAGTTGCTTGGTCACTGTGTTCCTTGGTTCTGCTATTTATTAAGAAAAGTAGAATTTTGGGGGAAAAGTTTTCCTCATCATGAACTCATTGATATCTGTGTAGAGCTACATACTTTACAGGGTGGTTTTGTGTCTCCTTTAAAATGTCTTGGTGAAGTAAGCTAGAGAATACGTATTTTACAGATGATAAAACTAAGCACAGAGTGGTTGAACAACTTGCCCAAGGTAACAGAGTTAGGGTATACATGCTTAATAATTTCTTAGCAGTTTCTAGTGAATAACTTGTAATAATCTGAATTCTAAAGCTGTGTAACTATGAAGTCAGAAAACCATTTTTCCTTAAAATTTTTTAAAATAAAATCTATTGAAATTGAAAATAAAGCATAATTCTACATGAATTTTTAAAACATAATTATAGCAGTTATAATTCAATCCATTATTCCAGAAACTAAGCTAAGAGTTTATACTTGCTATCTGTAATTTTTATTTACGTTGTATTGGTATAGATCCACCTTGCAATTGGGAAAATGGAATTTAGAGGGCCTCACAGCTAATACATGCTAGAAATGGGTTCTGGGCCTGTCCCCGGCTTGTGTTCATCCTCTGGTACTGTGCTGTGTCTGCTGTCTTTTTACCCAAATTTTGGAATGGAAATAATCATCTTTCAGGAAAGCACTGAGTGTATCAGATTCATTTATTTTTCTTCTTAACAGCTTTTGGACTTTCTCTTTCTTGAAACTCTTTCCCAGGAATTTTTTTCCCCCTCACTTTGTACTCAGCCTCCTTTTCAAGCTTTTCTCAGGAGACATTCCCCCAAGTTTCATTTCCCAGTTTCCACTTTCCTTTACACTATAGTTTCAGGGTCTTCATCTACTCTCATGGTTTCAGCTCCCCTCACAGAAGAGGTTGCTTTGGAATATGCATATCCAGAAATAATTGTTCCCTGTTTCCCAGGTCGTCACTTCAGTGGCTAACGGGACTTCATTTGAGGGCTCTGTAACAAGTACAGTTTTAATGCTGAAAACTAAACTTACCCCAGTCTTCAAATTCATATTAACTGTCTTATTCTCATCAATCTCCTTATTACCAGCTATTATGTTCTCATTCACAGAATATAAAACCTTGGAATTCTCTTTGGCCTGGGTTTCTTGACACCCAACCCAGTACTCTTTTTGCTCTGACATGCTGCCTGTATTTGGAATTTCATCTTTCATATGTCTTAGATCCTTAATTTCAAAAAGTTCCTGGAGGGCAATAACCACATATTATAGTATAAGTCTGTAGTTTACAAGAGATTTTTAAACCAGAAGTTGACTTATGAATTATTTGGAATTTGCCTTTTTTTTTTTTTTAATCCCTTCAGACATGTTGTTATAGTTTCAGGTTAAGCTAGGGTAAGCTATAATATGTCCAGAAAGGAGAAAAAGGAGCAAAGGCCATCTGGGGCTGCTGGTCTTGGGTACATCTCCACCCCCGAGAACCTCCTGCATGGTATGGCCAACTGTAACAGCACTAACAGAGAACTGTGAATGCAGTAGGTAGTTTGTGCCAGTAAAGTTAACAAAACCCAGTTTATTTTCATGCATAATAGAGGAGTAGCTTTAAGTGTTTCTCAAAGTACTTGTCACAGTATAGTTTTTAGAAGTCATTTCGTTATTGAAATGCACAGAAAGCAACTTGATAGCCAGAAGGGTATTCTTGAAAATAATAACCAAGCTCATAGATACAGAGAACAGATTGGTGGTTCCAGAGGTGAGGGAGGGGATGGGAGAAATGGGTGAACTGTTTTTTTTTTTTTTTTGTACTTTAAATAAATTGAACTAAATAAATGAAATTTAAAAAATTATAATAGTAGATTTTGTTATTTATTTGAGAAATCTTAAGACATGAAAATGCTATGTCAGAAAATGGTCATATTTCTCATTGAGGAGTATGTATAGGAGTGACAGTTAACTTTTCTCTTGACAGACAGAATTATATGTGATTAACAGGAATTAGAAAAATAATGTGGCTTATCCTTAAGGATGTTCTGCAGATTCTGTTTATACTTCAAAAATTATGAAAATTACTATTAAAATATAATTTAATAAAGCAAATGTAGATGTGATTCTTGAAACTTCTTTAATCTTTCCAGAATATGGCATTTCAGGCTGAACAAAAAATAAAAGCAGATATTTTGCGAAGCTTGAGTACTGAACAGCTCTTCCGATTATTATCAGATTCAGACTTGAATGTGCTGATGAAGACATTGGGACTTCTTAGAAACCTACTCTCTACTCGCCCTGTAAGTAAAATCACCCCAGTTTCCAGATTAACTAGCCTGGCATATACATTACAGAGCACTGCCCTGCCTCTCTGCTCCCATCAACATCTGCCCAGAAGTTATGATCCAAGGATTGCCCCTTGCCAGAGAAGCCAGGAGTTGATATTTAGACCTGTCACCTTCCTAGGTGTTCTGGAGCTGCTTCACCATGTGGCTTCCAATCCTGCACTGCCTGTCCTGTCTCCCTCTTGGTCCTACGTGCTGGATGGGAGCCTGCCTTTGTTGCTTTATTCTGACTTGGTTTGCTGGCCAGAATGAGTTTTCTCATCTGCCTAAATCACTTATCTCTGGGGCCTGAGCTGCTGTCCCTTGAGAGACTACTCAGTGCCATCTCCTTGCCCACATTGACTGGACTGACCTCTAGAGGTGTCAGCATAGAGAGCGGTGGGCACATGTCAGAGCCAGAGAGGCTGAGCCTTGTTGTGGGGTCTTTCTTGCTGTTCTCTATAATGTTCCCTAAGCAGCAGGGTCAGTGGCCTTCAGGCAAATAAAGAAACATGGGTGGTTCCCTTCTGTGTGCATCACTTGTGTTCTGAGTCCTTTCTGTACATTTGTGCCCCAAAAGAGTATTAGTAAAGCTACACCATATTTTCCAGGTCCCTGGCTTCTCCCCTTCCCCCATCCATTTTTTAGCTTCTTTTCTATTTAGTATCTTTGGGCTCAAGAATCTTCAGTGATTGCAGTTCTATATTTTGTCAGGCCAGGTCTCTGCTATCTTCATCTTGAAGTCATCAACAGCAAAAATTGAAGGCAAAATACAGCTTCACAACATAATATAGGCACACCTTGGAGATACTGCTGGTTTTGGTTTCCAGACCACTGCAATAAAACAAGTCACAAGAATTTTTTTTTATTTCCCAGTGCATATAAAAGTTACATTTACACTGCACTACAGTCTGTTAAGCATGTAATAAGCATTATGTCTTAAGAAGAAAATATATTGTTAACATGCCCTAATTAAAAAATAATGCTGTTGGGGAAATGGCACCGATAGACTTGCTCCACACAGTTACCACAAACCTTCAATTTTTTTTTTTTATTAAAAAAAAAACCCCACAGTATATCAGCAGCATGCAGTAAATTGACTTGAATTTGAGCAAACTCTGGGAGATAGTGGAAGACAGAGAAGCCTGGCATGCTGCAGTCCATGAGGTTGCAAAGAGTTGGACACAACTTAATGACTGAACAGCAAAAACATACTTATAAACACGGTTCTGTGGCCTCTGGTCCTATACTCATGGTGTTCACTTTGAAGCAGATGTGTACTGCACTGTATTCTTTAACTTTTGGAAGCCTTCTGTTCTTTCCTGTTGTCTTTTTCTTTGTTCTCCAGATGATAATTGTGGATTTCCCATTGTTTTGCAGCACATAGATAAAATAATGAGTACTCATGGAAAGCAAATTATGCAAGCCGTCACCCTTATTTTGGAAGGGGAGCATAACATTGAAGTCAAAGAGCAGGTATGTGTTCCCTTTTCTTTTTTGAGGAATATCTTTTGAGTGTGAGTACCAAGAGGAATAGTAGTTAGGAACCTCCTGAGTTTACTCTGTCGCAAAAGACTGTGCTGAGTTCAGAAATGCTATAGACATGGGAAGGGTCTGAAGGAAAAGACCCTCAGCCACCCCTGAAACTCTTTTCAAGAATTCTTCCTCCTGGAATGGAAGAAGACATGACCAGAGTCTATAGTTTTACCTTCTGTATCATGCACTATACATACTGTCTGTCACTATGGGGGATGGACACCTCTGACCATTTTAGAGTGAATCCTTTTCCCAGGATTCACATTTCTAGCCCTCCATATCACTATGCTCTGAACCAAATTCCTGCAGCTTCCTGATGAAAAACCCCTTATGCTGGAGACATCTTTTATTTCCTTACTCTCATACATCCCTCTTCCTTATTTCTATCCCATACCCCTTCTTTCTGTTGTGTTTCAATAGAGCAAGTTTAGGATAGACATGAAAATACAGAAGCTGTATGTTCATTAGGGAACAGTTTGGGAATTACTTTTCTCTAGTTCCTGCAGTTTATTACAAGATTTTTAACATAGTATATATGACATTTTGTCACATAAGAAAAAGTCACCTGCACACATATTTTTAACACAATATCTGAGATAATGGTAATGTTCAACTTTCTGACTTAAATATTGGCTCTATGGGTATGTTCATTTCACAGTTCATTGAGCTGTACACTTACATGTACGGAAGAAACTTGCCCAAGGTCGTCTGTGGAGAGTTGGACCCAAAGTCTAACTGCAGGGCCCACTTCCTTTTCCTCTGTGTTCCTGAGTTAAAGCAATTCATCAGGCTTCAGAAGAGCAGTCCAGGAGGCAAGCGTAGTAGGACTTGGGAGCCTTGTTGGAATTTGTGAGCAAAAAAGGTGATAGATTTGACAAAGTGATTTTAGACAGACATTTTTGGTGATTCTTATTCAAATTCAGTAATGAACAACTATATTTTTTGATGAACAAAAATTGAACACAGAAAAACTATGATCTTGTAGGCATCACTAAAGTTAGGGTAGATGAGATTTGTTTCTATAAAGAAGACGCAGTGTTCAAAATAAACTATTCTACATGGAGAGCATAGAAATTTGTTTATAAAGACAGTTCACCTAGATAGAATTTCACTAACTTGAAAAGCGAAGTAAGGTAGAAAGGTGAGGCAAGATTCGGATGGGGGCAAAAGAAAAGACCAACAACAATAAGGTGTTTCAGCAGAATCCAGTGATGCCCACTCACACAGGTTTGGGTAATGGGAAGTGTGGGTGACTATGGGGAGGCTTAAACTGTCTGCTTTTTAGCTAGAAGTTTAATTCTTCTCAAAAGAATCAAAGATACATTCTCTTTTTCTATTTTATTGATGTATCAGTTGAGTTCAGTTGCTCAGTCATGTCCGACTCTTTGCGACCCCATGAATCGCAGCACACCAGGCCTCCTGTCCATCACCAACTCCCGGAATTTACTCAAACTCATGTCCATTGAGTCAGTGATGCCACCCAGCCATCTCACTCTCTGTCGTCCCCTTCTCCTCCTGCCCCCAATCCGTCCCAGCATCAGGGTCTTTTCCAGTGAGTCAACTCTTCGCATGAGGTGGCCAAAGTATTGGAGTTTCAGCTTCAGCATCAGTCCTTCCAATGTATATTGATACATAATAAGGTACATATATTTAAAGCATACAGTGTGATAAGTTGACATATGTCTATGCCATGAAACAATCACTGTGATCACGATAGTGAACATATCTATCTGTCCTTAAAACAGGAATACAAGATGTGTTCCATTCTAACCACTTCTATTCAGCATCATACTAAAACTGCATTATCCATTTCAGGGGTTTAGCACACTGTTTCTACAAAGGGCAAGGTAAATATTTTAAGTTTGCAGGCTATACAGTCTCTGTAGCAACTTCTTCACTGCGATGTTGTAACCTGGAATCAGGTGTGAACAATATGTAAGCAAGTAGATGTGGCTGTCTTCCAGTAAAACTTTATTTACCAAAACAGGTATTGGGTTGGGTTGTATTCAGCCCACAGGCCATAATTTGCCAATTATTACTCTGTATCATTGATTTCCAGTTGTTCACATGAAAACATGTATGTGTGTGTGTGTGTTGCTTTTATCTCTGCTCCCTAGCTTATGTGTTAAATTGGCTTGGCCCAAGAACTAATTAGTTCTCTTTAAGATTTGGTTTCTTGTCTCCATCAGAATACTCACAGTAGGAGTGTGTGGGCTTGAGAGCAGAACTGTAGTTCACTCTGCCATGCTGGACAAACCTGAGGATGCATGGGTGTATTCTAACCTGCAAGAACGGGAATCACTTGCCTATCTTGCTGGCCTAGTCTATTCTGAGGGCTGTTTCCTGAAATCCTCCCTTTTATCCCTTGTCCTAGTAGGTAAGAGAGAGGTAGTTCTTCCCTAGGTGAGTCTAAATTCTTGTTCACAGAGTCCAATCCTGTTTTTCCCCTTTGCTGCCTCCTCAGTCCTGAAAAATTTAAGGGTGTTGTGCCTGTCAAGACTTCTGACAGGCTCACCATGTACCAGGTCACTGAAATCTGATGTCTTCCTCAGGTCATCTCTCTCCCACATGTGGGGCATATCAGGGTCTCCTCATTATGATCTAAGCACCCTAGAATAATAGTCCCCCAGTGCCTTGAATCATAAATGGTCCATTTTCTGTTTTCCTGTATCCTAGGGACAACCTCAGTACTCACTCCTTAACAATCTAATCACTCTGGTGTTGTTAACCCAGGAAAAATAAGACCATATACCCTTTAAGATATCTGAGGGTTTGGGCTATAGGAAGGAAACATCCTCAATTAGCTATAACCTGTAAACTTAACTAACTAGAGTCTAGCAAAGAAAAAGGTTAAAATTGGAGAAAATATATCTGAATTCAGACCCCATCTCCACCTCTGGTCACTTTTCTCTGAGTGATTCTTTACTGTGCTCAAGGACTTGGCGTCGCTTCCTTCCCTGGCCCTCCCCTGCCCTCGTGTTATCACAGATAGACTTAGTGCTTTCTCAGTCCTGTTTTCACCTCAGTTGCACCACAGTGAAATGTAACCATGTGTTTGCCTTTGGAGTTGGGGGTGTGTCCTGATCCTAAGTCAGCCTGTTCCAGTGGAGTGGGCAGAGTTCAGGCACATTACAGGTGCTCAGCCAGTGTTTGTGGAATTGCTGGGGCTGGCACTGGCTCAGTATCCCTGCCACAGGCCCTTCACCTTTACCTTAATCCCTGCCACCTGCTGGTCTGGCTGTGAGGCTATAACAGCTGACAAGAGCAGGCTCTTCTTCCAGTACCAAGGTGGGCAGTGTCCTCAAGAGTGCCAGGTGGCACAGGCTCCCTCCACCCTCCACATTAGGCCAACCCGCTCCTGCTCACATTTTGCTTCCCTTTCTGTTCCTCCGGTAGGATTCCAAAAAGTCAAGAGGTCCTCATCTCATGAGGCTAGTCGACAGGGTCAGGCCTTTATCCAGAAGGTCATGGGCTTGGAGACAAGTGGCATCTGAGAGGAGGGGTAGAGGGAGTTATAACACCTACAAGCTTCTACCCAAGAGCCTACTGCTTTGAAGAAACCTTGTGGGTTAGTACCCTAAGAGTGTCTCTTAAAAAATGAAATTTCCAAGAAAATAATAATCAATTACATTTTCCCTTTGATTTATGTGATAACATTACCATGGCTGCCTTTGCCTAACAGTGATGGCTTATGCCCAGAAAGAAGCCTCTGAAACATTTGGGTTCTCGTCTACCTAAGGCAGACTCTTTTCTTAGGTGTGGTTACTTTTTTGGGCAGTGTCTTTAGGGGATAAGAAATCAGGGCATTCAGAGGGGAACGTGTGAGAATCAGGAAAGTGTACTGCAGGTGGGAAATTGCCCAGGTTCTTGAAAGAGCTTGAGTCTGGGGACTTCAGAACTTTCCTGACCTCCCGCCCTTTGTTCTTTTCCAGACACTGTGCATCTTAGCCAACATAGCAGATGGAACAACGGCAAAAGAACTTATTATGACCAATGATGACATCCTACAGAAAATTAAGTATTATATGGTAGGCCTTTGTCCCTTGCATGACTCTAAACTAGCTGCACATTAGAAGGTGAGGATGGGTAGCGCTGTTAGCTCAAAACAAATTGTGCAGAAATTAAACAAAGAATAGACTCCTCTGTAACCAATTCCAGAAATCCTCTTCCATCCTGAAAAATGAAACACCACCAAGCCCTTGAGGCTTGCACCACTGGGCAGGGTTCCCACTCATCACCCCTTTTTTCACCCTGTCATCTGATTGCACCCTTCTTACACAGTGAAGAAATTGGGCCCTTGGCCTTCTCTCAGTGCCCCAATCCTGTCTTCCATCTCAAAGCTTCAATCCTGTGCAGATGAACCCTCTAGTTTCTGGTACCTCTGGCTCTTGTTCTTTGACCAGTTTGCTTTCAATTATAATCTGCTACCTACTTGTGGACACCTCAGCTATGTACTGCCAAAGCCTTACCTGGGATCTTGTCATCACCAGAAACTGCCCCTTGCCAAAATCTGGAAGTTAGACATGCTTCCTCTCTTTATTCTGTCAGTGTCCCCTAGGGAAACCCTAACTGTGGATGAACCTGTCTTCTCTTTGCCTGCCTGGCGGAGTTAACAACCCTACAGAAAGGCACAAAACCAGACGGACTAGTTTCTTGTTAAATTCACACCCATGTGTGCACTCTGCACTGCTTGGTGTCCCCCTCTGCTTCAGCACGCTGGGACCTCCATTCTCAACAAGAATGGGCTCTTAGACCTTCTCATTCTTTAGATCTCACCTCCTCACTCCCTCATCACTCCTGGGGGTGACCTCACCTTTTGTTTTATGAAGGGAATAGAAGCCAAAGTCCTTCAGTGGTTCCCTATTGCACCTTGAATAAAATCCATCCTCCCCCCACCTTTTGCTGTCTGTGAAAACCTACATGACCTGGCTCATCTGTGCCCCCAGCTCCTTTCTTTCCCCTCATACCTTTGTTCACTAGTGTGGCCTCTCTTTGTTCTTCAGAGAGGCCATGCATGTTCTTTACTGCCTCAGGACTGCCCCATCACACATGCCCGCCCCTCCGCCTGGAGCATTCTTCTCCCCATTCCTTCATGGGGTGCCTTCTCACCTGTTGGATCTTAGCTCAGCTGACATTTCCTCCTGGACTCTTGTCTGCACAGGTTATTCTTTGTTACTGCATTCTGTTCCCTTCAGAGCATGTAACTCAATTATCACCCCTTACAGTTGTTTGTTAGTGAACCTACTGAGCATAAGCTTCACGAGGGCAAGGATTGTGTCAGTTCTGTGTTCAGTTGTATATCTATCACCTTGTACAGTGCCTAGATTTTATGCTTGGTAAGTGTTTGATGGAAAAGTACAACTTCAACCAGGGACTCCACCACCTTTCCAATACCAGATCCACGTAGGATCGCTGTAAATGTTTCTCTGGAATTCCCACGCCCATTAAGGACACCTGCCTCTCTGCTGCTGTTCAGAGCCAGACTTCTCAAGAGCATCTTCTGAATGTGCTCCCTCCTTCCTCACCTCTAAATTCACTCTCTAGCCCTCTTCCTCTGGCCTCCATCCCCATTGCTCAACTCAAACTGTTCTGGTTAACATTACCACTGACTCCATGATGTCAAGTCCAACGCTAGTTTTCTTTCCTCATCTTACCTCACTCGCAGCAGATTTCAACTTAGCTGGCTGTCTCCTCCTCCTGGAAACATTCTTTTCCCCTGGCTTCCAGGACACTATGCCTCCCTTCTTAACCCTGGACCCTCTTCTCTTCTCTTCCTCATATGGTCCTGAGATTGACGGTTCAGTACCTCTGTTGCATAGTGGAGGGAGTTTGCAAAGACTGTTGTTTTGCCTCTTTCCTCACGAGATTCTGACTTAATAGTTGTGGGGTGTAGCCTGGGCATCATTGTTTTTTTAAAGTCCCCCAAGTAGTTCTTAGGTTTAACCAGAGTTGAGAACCACTGGTTTAGGGAACCTCATCCACTCCCGTGGCTTTTACTGGCATCTCTATTCTTTGTTTGGTTTCTGGGCCCCAGTTCAATAGTCAGTTCTGATAGACTAGTCATTACAGTTTTTACATTATAGTTTTTACACTGTCATTATAGTGTTATAGTCATACAGTATTTACATTGATAGCAAGCAATGCAAAACACAACAGCATGGCCTTCCTAAGCCTTGACAAGAAGCTACTCTGATGGTGTCTACAGTTTTACAAATGCTGGTTCTTTTCTTCATGAGGGGAGCAAGATCCAAGGGCCACATGAGGGTTACACCTCTAGCCTAGACCTCTCTTCGGAGCTCCAGACTCACATATCCTCCTGCCTCCTCCACATCTCCATGTGGCTGTCTGAAGCCTCTTGACCTTGATGCTTAAAAATCAGTTCTTAAGTATCTCCCCTAAACCTGAATTTCCCCATCCTGAACTTTTCTGTCTCAGTATAGTGGCTCTGCCATCTACGCTGTTGCTCACATCTAGGAGTCAATGTTAATTTCTCCAGCTCCTTCACCCCATTAATCCAGTTTGTCAGTAGGTCCTGTTACCCTTCCCCAAGACCAATCTGTATGCTGTTGAATTTTTTCTGTCACCACAACCCTCACCCTAGTTCAGGCCACAGCCTCTCATGCCCTATTGACCATAATAGCCTCCTAGACACCTCTGCACTATCATTCCAATCCCCTCAGCCTGGATGATCTTCTAAAAATTTAAATCAGATGTGGTGCCCTCCACTGCTTAAATCCTTCAGGGCTTCCTGTCAACTCAGTGAAATCCATCGTTACTCTGGCCTACAGGGACCCACAGTTAGCCATGCCTGCTTCTCCACATTTTACTCTGCTTTTCCTTCTCAATATGCACAGCTTTATAATTTCTTCTTACCGCAAACCCTTTCAGGAACTTTCCCTTCTTCTTGGTGCCTCTTGATCTTTGTATACCTGGCACCTTCCTATTTTTTATTCTTCCTATGCAAAAGTATTGCCTCCTTTAAAGAGATCTTTTCTGTGTTTCACTTAAAATGAGTGAAAACTTCATCCTTCAGCTTTCTCTATCAAGCAATTTGTTTTCTCAAAAAAAATTCACTGAGTGAATGCTGGATGTAATACTTAGTGTTGCAATATAAATAAGTTTGTTTATTCAGCAAATATTCATTCATGGCCTGATGCTGGGAGTAGGTGGTGCGTATTATTCTGTTTTGTCTTAGTGGAGCGCAAACTGGACAGCTCTGTAAAAGCCTTGGCAGGCAGGAGGGAAAAAGAATCACCAGCCATAGAATTCTGATGAAGGAAACCACGTCCTTTGTCTCTGCTTAGTTCAGATACAGTTTTACATGGCAAGAAGTCTGTCCCGGCCTTCAAGAAACTGTTGAACATATATTGTGTTATGGTATTTCCTGATATGCATGAGTTATTTAAATGTAATGAGAACTTTATTTTTTTAATTGGCCAATTGAAAAATCATCTGTATGAACTTCCCTGGCAGTCCAGGGAAGGACTCCCTGTGTGGTTAGGACTCCATCTGTCCACTGTAGGGTGCAGATTTGACCTCCAGTCAGGGAACTAACATCCCACATGCCACATGGTGCAGCCAAAAAAAAAATCATCTAAAGATGTTTAGGGTCCTCTTTCATTTAAGAAAAAGCACCCTATATGGATAAATAATAACTTCAGCAAATATGGTTGTACTTTCAGTACATGAAGAGAAATAAATGAGAGTGTGTTTTAGAAGAATAAGGAGCCTCCTTAAGAATAGTAGAAACTCATCAAGTTTTTTATGCTGTTCCTAGAGAAACAGGAGCAATTTGAATCAGATAATCAGTAGCCAAAGGGATAAATATTAAGTGCACATCCATCTAGTTTATTGGCCCTGAACACTTCCTGATGTGGACAGAGAATAGTCAAAAGCATAGACTTGACCTCGGCCAGTGTTCCTGTGTGTATGGGTTGAGTTTTGCAGACTGCACCTGTGGCCCTTGAGGTGTTTTGTTTGGCCAGCCTGAGGGTCTCTAAAATTTGAGTGTGGAGTCCTGGCAAGCCTTCACTCCCTGGTGTACCACATTTCCCACCACTCTCTGTTGTCTTTAGCCCAACCTGTTCACCCATTAGCACTAACTTTGTACCCCTCAAGACATTTGGATTTGAGGCCCCTGCTTCAGACTTTTATTAGGCTATTGGAATTGCCTGTGGTATGATACAAAAAATTACCTCAAATGAGAGTACCTCCTTTTTTTTTTTTTTCTGTTTCTGCATCAAATAGGGTCATTCACATGTCAAATTGCAGCTTGCCGCTATGTTTTGTATATCAAACCTCGTATGGAATGAAGAGGAAGGTAAGAGATTGTTGAGATTTGTTCTGAAAAAAATTATGGAGAGGAAGGTGTCAAACAGGGACAGCATCAGCTGCTCCAAAATCCTGGGTAGAGGCACCACTCATTGGGCCCTAAGCACCCAACAAAGTCTCCTAGGTATGAATGAGAATCTGCTGGCTTAGCTAACATTGAGCCCCCACCTTGGAGTCAGCACTGTTCCAGAGTACTGAGCGTGGGGATTGGAGGAGACCCTAGAGAAGTGACAGCCCTTGCCCTTGAGACAGCTGAGAAGGAGGATGGTGAGATGCACTTGAAGAAGATGAGAGGTGAGAGTGGGCGGGAGGGTTGACCTTTCACTGTGTGCAGGGGGAGCACATCGAAGGACCACATGCAGGTAAGCTCAATGGAGAAGAGGGTGGTTGGTGAGAAGGGAGAACTACACCGTGCCTGGTGAGGCGACCAGTGTGTGAGGAAGCCTCTATAGCACTCTACCTTGATGTGCATCAGAACCACCCAGAAATTTTGCATCAGCCAGTTAAATCAGAATCTCTGGGAGTGGGCTCCAGGCATAAGTGGTTTTTTTAAATTCCCCATGTGATTCCAATGAACAGCCAAGGTAGTGAGGAGTGCAGTGGGCCTCAGTGTTGGATTGGCTGCATGAGCATCACCTGAGGGACTTTGTGAAATGCAGATTTCTCGGCACCACCCCTGGAGATTCTGGTTCACTGAGTCTCAGGGAGGTCAGTGCGTGAGTGAGTCACTGTGGGCTCCTCAGTGAGGAAGAGAGAATCTGGAGGAATTACACTTTGCAGTGGGTCCAGAACAAAGCAGAAAGAGGAGCTGGGTTCAGTGTGCAGGCCAAGAGACCACGTGCCAGCCCAGGTGCCTGGGAAATAAGCTGCCCTCAAGGAGGGCCTAATCTAGTTGGAAGACAGGACAAAGCAGTGTGGAGTTGGAGCTGCCATGGTCTCAGAGGCAGCAGGAAGTGCTGGGAAATCAGAGGAGAGTGGGAGTGAATAGAGGGGGGTGGGAAACGAGACTGGTTTGAAGTAGGAAGAGCCTGGCTAAGTCTGTGCAGAAGAAAAGTGATGAAGATAAGACCTGATGATAGGGCCTTGTGCCCAGCTGAAGACTCTGATCTTGACCCTGTGGTCTATGGAGAAACTGATCCAGGAGCAGAACCCAGGGAGGAGGGTCCAAGAGGCCAGTTGACCAGTTAGAACACTGTTGGAGAATCCCAGCACAAGGAGATTGGGTTACACTGGGGGGAGCCGGTTTGGGGGGGATGGAGGGGGCAGGAACACTGGTAAGGCTCCAGACTATTGGCTGTACATTAAAAAGAGCAATGGCCTGGGTAATGTTCCCAGTAACCTGCTAGCTTTCATCTCTCAGGCTCACAAGAACGCCAGGATAAATTACGAGACATGGGCATCGTAGATATTCTACACAAACTGAGTCAGTCACCAGATTCAAACCTTTGTGACAAGTGAGTATCAAAGTTAAAGGTCCTTGCTTTAGGGTATGTTGAATTCTTTGATAAAAAAGTTTAAATTGCTTAGTAAGCCGCAGGATCAAACTCAAAGTCTTTTAGATTCTTGGCTTCCCTTTTTAGTAATCTGTGAGCCAACTGTGTGACATCTGAGTAAGAGATAAACCAATAATTGGCAGATTATTAAAGATTTTCATCTCACTATGAATGAATGTGAGCCTGGGCCACCATAATGGGAATCTGGAAAGGATCCTGAGGCCATTCCCTTTCAGTCTCTTGATCCTTAGAATAGAAATGCATGTGGTTTTTTGGAGAGCAGAAATGAGGGCTAATTATAAAAACATTCATTAGCTCAGAACCTCACGAAGTGCCTGCCTTGTGCCAGCCCAGCCTGGCTGCTTGGGGTGCAGCTGTGACCAGTAGGGAGTCCCTGTCCTTAGTGAGCTCACTGTTTACTAGAGGAGGTGAGAGTCACAGTCTGAGACCCCTCTAACCTCTAGATAGCCAAGAATGTTTTTCCTGGCTGTGAACACTTCTTATAATACAGCCTTCACTTTCCAGCTCACTTTCATCCTGCAGACTCTTGAGCAGGTCTCAGAGTGCTCCATGGTCTGGCCCTGCCTTCCTCATGCCCCCTGCCCCCGTGCCTACTCTGTGCTCTAGCCACACCTGCCCTCTTAGAGGATCACACCTTCCTGTGTTTACACATTCTGTTCCACCAGATTTGCCATCCCAGTCCTCTCTCCTCTGACTTCCCATTCATTCAGCGAGTACTGTTTTTTTAATACTGACCTCTGCCAGTCATTGCTTCAGGCCTCAAAGATACAAGGGTGAATAAAATTGATGAAGGCCTTGCCCTCATGGAACTTACGTTCTAGTACAGAAGACAGACAATAAGCAAATGAATATGTAATGTGATCACAGATAATGAGAGGTACTGAAGGTATAACCAAGATGAGGGGATGGAAAGTAAGAAAGTCTCTTGTCATATAGATTAGTCAGTAAAAGCCTCTCTAAGGATGTGACATTTGGTCTAAGACCTGGGTGAAATGAGAGGGTCTGCCCAGCAGATGTTTAGAAGAATAGTATTCCAGACTGAGGGGACAGTGGGTTCAAGGTCCTGAGGCAGGAATAAGCTTGAGCATTCAAGAAACAGCAAGAAGACCAGTGGGACTGGGGAAAAATAAACGGGCAGGAGAGTGAGAGGAAGTGGACATAGGGAGGCAGTAAGAGCCTTGTAGGCTGTAGCGTGAACTTTGGCTTTTATGCAGAGTTTAATAGGAGGTCATGGAGGGTTTTGAATGGAAGAGACAGTATCTGATGTGAATTTTTAGAAGCTGGTTCTGGTAACTCTGTGGAGAATGGTTCACAGTAGGGCAGGAATGGAAGCAGGGAGACCAGTCAAGGCTGTTGCAGCTGTGTTAGGTGAGAAGGGAGGGGGGTAGTGGTGGGAGTATTGAGAAGTGGTTGGATTCAAGATTTAATATAAAGGCAGAGCCAACAGATTTGCTCATGGATTTGATGTAGGATGTTAAAGAGAGGAAAGGAAAAATGCCTAGAGTTTTTATTTAGCCTGAGCAACTGAATAGAGGTCTACCAAGATGATCATTTGCCAAGATGCCAAGAAGAACAGAAGAGAAGGATAATCAAGTCTTGGAGAATCAAGAGTTGTCATTTGGTGTGACAGCTTTTGGATGCTATTAGCTGTCCATGGGACTCAGAGGAGAGGGGCTGAAGATATGAATTGGGATGGTATATCTACCATGGAGCTGCCTGGAATCACCTAGGGAGAATAAACAAGAGGAGAGAAGACAGAAGGGCTAAGGACAATGGACTGGGATACCCCACCTCCACCCCAGCACTTAGAAGAGAATGAAAAAAGTCCAGCAAAAGGTCAGAAAGAACAACCACTGAGAGAGGCAGAGACCTGGGCACATAGGTGTCCTGAAAGCAAAGGCAGAGAATGCCTGGACAGTGACCATCCTTCAAATCAGGTTGTCGCCTCTGTGGAAAAGTCTTGCTGGATCCATTCTCCACCCTGGCCCCCAGACTTTGCTAGGGACCCCTCCGTGCTCCCGTAGCACCCAGAGAACACACCACACTGTGTCGCGGCTGTCAGCTTGCTTCTCTGCTCCAGGGAAGGGAAGAGGCACTTGTTTAACGGCTCCTCGAGTAAATGGCTGGGCCAGATGGAGCACACAGAGCTGGGCTCCTGCCTCCCTGAAGCTTGCTCTCCAGGGGGTTAAAGAAGATAGATCCCCAGGCTGCTGCTCAGACGAGTGTCCCATCCAAGGCACGTTGAAGTCAGGGCAGCTCATGCTGAAGGCGAGATTTGAGCTCCACCTTGAGAGCAGGAACCTCCGCCTCCACAGCAGCAGTAACAGACTCTGTCAGCCCATCTCTTCTGGCCAAGAGCCAGGCTGTTCCCAGGGTTTTTTCTTTTGTTTGTTCAGAAATTAAAATAGTTCTGCTTAAAACCCTCTCTGGAACGACCTGAAAAGAGACCTCACCAGCATGAAGTGGGGTAGGTTTAAGCTCTGACCTAACATTACTTAGACCAATCTAGTATTGTTGCCCAAAATCTGCGTGGCAGATTGTCAACATTTCTTAAACCCCATGAAAAGAATCAAGGTCCAAGCTACTCTAACTCAGTCCATTTAAGGAAAGGTGACCTTGCCTTAAAGCCATCCATTGGAAAGACTCCTTAGATAGTAATAGGTAGCAGAAAGATCATGAGGGCACAGTCTCTGAGGTCCAGTATAATCAAACATAGCCAAACCCTTAGAAAGATCCACTTAAAGAGTAATGCAGAATTCTGATCAAGACCCTCACGCAGACATTCCCACCATGGCACAGTCTATGACCTAACAGCAGCATCTCTAAGGTCCTTTCTGTCTTCAAGGCTGTGTGACCTTTAGACTTTCAGACACTTAATAGATGTGGAGCTATTGCCAACTAGACCTCTCCACCCCAGGCTCAGAGGGCCTCGGTTTGTGAAGTTATAGCCAATGAGAGTTAGCCTGTGGCATTATTCAGAAACAGTTTCCTACGAAAACGACCTCATAGAACCTGACTTGCTCATAACCTGGAATGGTTTCTGTGGAGCTTTCTATTCTAATAGATTGGACTGCTTGCAACAGTCATCTTTATAGAGTCTTAAATAATTACAGGAGTATCCCTGAGCTGACCTCTTTTAAGACTGTGGATTATATCCATTACTAAACCAAAGAAACTACTTGAGTCCTGCTTATTGCATGCCCTGTCTGCTTTGGTATACAGCTAATAGTGACAGAAAATCTTAGCCTTTTCTTCCCATAACTTTGAAGGGGAAAGAGACCATTGCTAAAACCTGACTTCCACAGTTGCAGCCTTGACCAAGTGCATGATGGGAGAGTAAAGGAGGCCTTCTCAGTCCCAGCTCAAAAGGAAGGCACTTCTGCAAGGATCAGGACAGGTTAAGGCATGGCCTATGTTACAGAGCTTCCTCTTCAACTAACTACCTTCCCCAATCACCATAACAACCCACATCAGTCAGTGTCGTGGACAAGATAAAATCGTAACCTCCCTACTTCAGTTTTGAGCCATGCGACAGCCTCATCCCCTGAGCTCTTGGCTCCTCCCACGCATTTTCTAATAAGCACCTCCTCACCCCTGCCTGGGTCAGGTTTGACAAAGGAGAACTATAGAATGTCTGAGTTGCAGCAGCTGTAAGGACAAGAGCAGGACCACAGGAAGGGGATGTAGCCAGCATGAGTTTGCAGTGTGTGCTGACCACAGATCTTTGTCCCTTATATATAGTAGGCATTCTGCACCAACTCCATCACCCCAGTTCCCTTGGGGGAACCTATTTTTTTACTTTCCCAGCTGCCATCTTTGAGCCTTGATCACACTTCTGAGATGATGGCTAACAGAAACTCTGTGATTCCAGGGCAAAGACAGCGCTGCAGCAGTACCTGGCGTGATGAGAACACCCCGGGCACCTGCGGGCATCCCACATCCTTGTTAAAGGAAGTACAGGAACTAGCCTCATTTGATTCCTTCTATTTGCACAAGTCACCTTGGACTGCAGGGAGCTGTTTTGCAAAAGCAATTTGGTAGGCTTAGATCTCAAATTCATCTTGAGAACATTTTTTTTTGAGGTAGTAATTTTCTCAGAGGACTATTGTGTTTTGTTTTGTTTCTTTCTGAGCTACCTGGACTCTTTATTAGAACAATCAATTATTTTCCTTTGGACCTACAGTTTTTTGCCTATGCTGCAGCCACTTTGTGAGTGAGAATGGATGTGTATGTGTGTGTGTGTGTGTGTGTGTGCGCGCGCGCGCGCCGGTGTGGACAAAAGTCAGAATGAATGAATATGTGTGTGTGTGAGGGATACCTCAGAGTTTTCTTTTCTTATTTTGTGTGAAAATCTCTTTTCTACAGATTTTCCAGGGTTTAAGCATTGCTTGCTGTATAAAAAAAAAAAAATTTACTGAATTATATACAGTTTGAATGAAATGTTATTTTAAAAACAAAACAATTGTTAAGTGTTCCATAAAGGTTATGTTGAATTTTGGTCAGATAAATATTTGTAAGTAAAAAATATATGCATTTCTGAACCTCAACTTACATAGATTTTCTTTATAAAAAAAACAAAAAACAAAAAAAAGAAAAAAAATTAAAAAGAAAAAGAAAAGGTTGGCTATAGTTGGCCTGAGTAACAGGCATGACATATGGTGCTGTGCAAAATAGTAAGCTAGCATCTTACTGCCGTCAATATCAGCAGGTACAGAGCCTCTTTTCAGCCTAATTCAATAAGCTCTCAGGCTTCCAAGTCAGATGGACAGGTTGGAGTGGAGTGAGGCGACAAATACAGACATCAAAGGGAATTGTAACTACTGATAGTGGAAACCCAGCCATGACTGGTGGACTACACTTGGCAGGACCTGGGCACCAAGAGCCTCCCAGCTGCCCTAAACCCTGTCACTGGTGTAGCAATAGATGGCAGGATTTAGATCCAGTCATGGAAACTTGTGCTCCAGCTGAAGTAGGTCACCACTTCCTGGAAACAAAGTCCAATCACCTTGTGCTTCCTGAAACAGCATATATCACTGTGAAACTAAAGAATGTCCTACAGATGCATCTGTAGGAAGAAGCAGAGAACAGAAAAGCCGTTCTTCTCTCGGCTGTACTCAGCAACTTCTATATACTTGTCACTCAGGACTGCTATTCAGTGTGCTTTTGTAAAGTGAGATGGAAATTTTAGTAAATGATGTGGCTAAGATCTTTTCCTGCATGAAGCCCAAAGCACTGAAGTTCGAGAGAAGGGAAGGGGGTCCCCTTGGGAGGACCGAAGATGACAGCTTTTTCCAGTCAGGACTGCTTTGCCCTTTGGCAGCCCTTAGCTTGGTACCTGCTCCAACTTCTGGGTCAGCTTCAAGGTGAACTCAACATGATTACTCCTGACTGTTTGAAGGTACAACCAACCTTCCTTGTCCCTCGGCTATAAGAATTTCAGAGGCATCGTGGCCAGGAAGCAGGGTCTGTGCTCAGAAGCTTGCCCTGAGTGTGTGCACCTGATGGGCTCCCAAACCCGCCTGCCATTCCTGACGGAGCTGCCGGCGGTGCAGCCACTCCATCACCAACCTGCTCCTTCCTTGGAAGATTTAAATATGTTTGATTGCAAATGAATGTTTTTAAAATGTATTTAATGCCATTTTTTTTCTGTTTTCAACATGACCACCCAAGATTCAAACACAGAGATTTCCAAGTTGTATTTTTTCTTTCAGAACATTACTGATTTAAAAATCTGTCCCAACAGGGGCTTGGGTTTTGTACAACCATCAGAGTGCTAATGTGCAGAAGCCAGTTTAAAGAAAATGGAGTGTTCTGGGGATAAAAGCCTTATTTAGGCCCACTCACTGACATTTCTAGTACTGAGAAAATATCCTTGGTTGGCATTTGTAACACAAAACACTATAGAGTTGGTATTTTTAAGTACCAGGTAAATATAAATAAACCAATAATGAATTGCTGAGACAATCTTGAACCCAGATAGCATTAGAAAGCTGAAAATCCAATGAAATGACACTTTGACACTTAAACTCTGTGGATAAATCTTGCCTGTGGCTATAAACAGATGGTCAGAGGAAAAGTGCTTTATGATAATTAACTTTTCTGATTTGAATGAAGGAAAATGTATTTATTAAAACAAAGCTGTTTGCTGCTTTATGCAGATGCAGTGTTCTGTCTGCAAGGAAGTGGGGGGAATGGAACGTGGGCTTGTGTCTCCACCCAAGTTCTTAACTAAGCTTCTCGCTCTCTCTAATACTGCATTCTGTTTCTCCTTTTGTGCCCTGATTGTAACCCAAAATTTATGAACTAGAAAAGAATGTCCAATTTAATAAGTTGCATTTTTTTTCCTTAAGCACTTTATGCAGAACAAACCATGTTCTTCTGGTAGTGTTTGGATAATATGATTTTAACACATGCTAATAAAAGCCAAGAAAAAAGCATGGCAACTTCTAAAAAGGAGTCTGTTTTCCAAATATCTAGAACAATAGGAAACATTAGAAGATGATGTGGACTGGCTTTCAAAACCTGGGATTCTTGATGAGTGAGAGGCTGGGAAGTGACTGCATTTCAGAGCTAGGACTAGTGCCCTAGGGTAACTGTGGCTTCCGGGAGCCTTTGCAGCCATCTGTGGCCCCCTTTCCTTTACAGGTGCCCACTCCCAAGGCTCCCCCTCCATCCTCTCCTCTTCTCTTTCTGTATGCCACTCCCCACCACCACCTGCTGGACTCAAGCCCGGAGCTTAGCAGATGACCACCTGCACAGACGTTCTGCATTTCCGGTGCCCCGCCACCTTCCCCTCCTCCCCCATGTCTGAAACATAGGGACACACCACCTGTCTCTTGGCCTCACTAGAATCTAAGAGAAAGCCAAGGATGCCTGCCCTAGAGCGTGAGTGGGAGATGGTGAGGTGGTTGGTGGGGGAGACAATTCCCCTGCCACAGGGGGAGTTTGGAGGTGAGGCTTGGGAAAGCAGGGACTGACCGCTGATCCTGCTGGAGAGCTGACAAGAGAAGTCCCAGGACCTTGACACCTGGGGTGGGGCTAGTGCTGCCCCGGTCCTGGCCCTGGCACTGACCTCCCTGGATGCTGGGCCGGAGGCGTGTATCCATTCCCAGCCTGAGGAGGGTTTTGGTCCTGACCTGGCTTCAGGGCAAGCTGAGGGAGCCATGCTATGGCCCGCCACGTGCCTTCCTCCCTCTATCCCTTCAGCTCCTGGCCTTGGCCTTGGCTCTGCTGGACAGTCAGCCCTCTGGCTGAGTGGAGGGCCTAAGACAGTGAGGCCACCTCCTTGACTTGGGCTAGGCCTGCCCTCTACCCTGTCGGGTGCTCACACCCAGGAGAAGCCTTAAGGCCTAAAACAGTGCCCATCCCGCAGGCCCAGGGTATCTACCAAGGAGTTCCCTCCTCTGTTGCTGAGCAGACATTTCTATCACTTTCAGGAGCTTCTCTTCCTCTCTCTTCACCCCACCCTCATTCCTTCTGCCAGGAACCGTCTGGACTCTGAGAAAAGAAGCCCCCTTGTAATAGAAGGAAGGGGTGTGTCACCACATCTCCTACCCCAGCCCTATCACTTATGTCCTCCTGCTTTCCCCATCCCAGCCCTGCCATCCCAGCCACATCCTGGGAAGGCTGAAAGGTCATCACAGACACCTACAGACATGGGCCAGTCCCTCCACCTGCTCTTCTCTCCCCTGCTTTCAGAGGCCTTGGTCACTCCATTTCTCACCTCTCCTCTCTCCAGTGATGTAAGCTTGGCATCCCAGCTTCTGAGGAGACTAGATAGCTGTCAACTGTGTGTACCCCAAGCCGCTCATTCAGAGCTAAACAACACCTGTGGTGTGGAAGGCCAAGTGTGGGGCTCTGGAGCCAGCTCAGAGGTGAGCCCAGACCGACAGAGCCAGCTGCCCCATCTTGAGACCACTCACAAAGGTCAGAGCACAGCCCTTTGGTGGGCTCTGTGTCTGGGGGTGTCTGCCTTGGCGGAGTCAACTTTCCTGACAGAGTCTGTCAGAGGGCGCTCCACTGAGTGTTCTCACAGGGCCTGTACTGAGAGTGCCGAGTATGACGGGCAGGCAACTTTCCATCCAGAGGTGACCCAAGGTTGTGGGAAACACCAAGACTCTACATGTACATCACCAGATGGTCAGTATCAAAATCAGATTGATTATTTGATTATATTCTTTGCAGCCATCAGCCAAAGATGGAGAAGCTCTAGATAGTCAGCAAAAAACAAGACCAGGAGCTGACTGTGGCTCAGATCGTGAATTCCTTATTGCCAAATTCAGACTTAAGTTGAAGAAAGTAGGGAAAACTACCAGACCATTCAGATATGACCTAAATCAAATCCCTTACAATACACAGTAGAAGTGACAAATAGATTCAAGGGATTAGATCTGATGACAGAGTGCCTGAAGAACTATGGACAGAGGTTTGTAACATTGTACAGGAGGCAGTGATCAAGACCATCCCCAAGAAAAATAAATGCAAAAAGGCAAAATGGTTGTCTGAGGAGGCCTTACATATAGCTGAGAAAAGAAGAGAAGCTAAAGGCAAAGGAGAAAAGGAAAGATATACCCATCTGAATACAGAGTTCCAAAGAATAGCAAGGAGAGATAAGAACGCCTTCCTCAGTGATCAATGCAAAGATAGAGGAAAACAATAGTTTGGGAAAAACTAGAGATCTCTTCAAGAAAATTAGAGATACCAAGGGAATATTTCATGAAAAGATGGGCACAATAAAGGACAGAAATGGTATGAACATAACAGAAGCAGAAGCTATTAAGAAGAGGTGGCAAGAATACACAGAAGAACTATACACAAAAGATCTTCATGACCCATATAACCATGATGGTGTGATCACTCAACTACAGCCAGACATCCTGGAATGCGAAGTCAAGTGGGCCTTAGGAAATATCACTGAGAACAAAGCTAGTGGAGGTGATGGAATTCCAGTTGAGCTGTTTAAAATCCTAAAAGATGATGCTGTGAAAGTGCTGCACTCAATATGTCTGTAAGTTTGGAAAACACAGCAGTGGCCACAGGACTGGAAAAGGTCAGTTTTCATTCCAATCCCAAAGAAAGGCAATGCCAAACAATGTTCAAACTACTGCACAATTGCACTCATCTCACACACTAGCAAAGTAAGGCTCAAAATTCTCCGAGCCAGGCTTCAACAGTATGTGAACCAAGAACTTCCAGAAGTTCAAGCTGGATTTAGAAAACACAAAGGAACCAGAGATCAAATTGCTAACATCTGATGGATTATTGAAAAAGCAAGAGAGTTCCAGAAAAACATCTACTTCATTTTATGCCAAAACCTTTGACTGTGTGAATCACAACAAACTGTGGAAAATTCTTCAAGAGATGGGAATACCAGACCACCTTACCTGCCTCCTGAGAAATCCGTATGCAGGTCAAGAAGCAACAGTCAGAAGTGGACATANTGGCCACCTCATGCGAAGAGTTGACTCATTGGAAAAGACCCTGATGCTGGGAGGGATTGGGGGCAGGAGGAGAAGGGGACGACAGAGGATGAGATGGCTGGATGGCATCACTGACTCGATGGACATGAGTTTGAGTAAACTCCGGGAGTTGGTGATGGACAGGGAAGCCTAGCATGCTGCAGTCCATTGGGGTCACAAAGAGTCAGACACGACTGAGTGGCTGAACTGAACTGAACCCCGTGTCAGGGGCCTTGATCCCAACCTTCTAGAGCCTGACTCATCCTTGTGTCCCTGTCCCCAGTCCTGAAGGCCTCTTGCTACAGGCTGGAGGACAGAGTAGTGTGCCCATAAAAGACAGTTTGTGGACACAAACTGTCCATTTAGACAGCTTCTTCAGGTCATAAGCACAAAGTCACCTCATGAGAAAACCAGCCATTTGCCTCATGGTGTAGGAGAACACAGCCTTTTCCCAAGTCAGAGAGGAAAGAGTATGCCCAGGCTCAGTGCATTTACAAATAAACCAAAGAACAAACTGATAAGAAGGAGTAGCTGGCATGTTACTACTCACGGGAGTAGTGATAGTTACTGAACAGCTCCTGTGACCCATGAAGGGACAACTAAACCAGGCAATTGAGTGAAAGCTGGTGTCACCACGAGGAGCTCTCAGGTTTTAAAATTAGTTTTGGGTGGCCCCATGGATTGGGAGCTTTCACTGCTGGGGTTTGATCCCTGATTGGGGAGCCAAGATCCTACAAGCCCATGGTGCAGCCAAACAAAAATTTTTAAAAAATAAAACACAATTCAGCTTTAGCCAAAATCAGAAACCCAAGAAATGCGGGGGGAGCAGCATTAAGAAAATTAGTTCAACCCTGGTTCCAAATGTAACCCCCAAGCACTGTTTTCTGAACATGCTCTGATTCATGGAGAACCACAGATGGTGAATCAGCTTATTCCAGGATTGCCTGTTGTAGCCAGGGCACATGGCATGAATTAAAGCTGACTTATACCTGCCCCGTAAGCCCTGAAGTGTCACGTCCAGTCCTGTTGCACTGATTTCAAGTTCACTGTTACCAAGTTAAGCTTTAAAATTGTTTCATCCATGGGACTTCCCTGGTGGTCCACTGGCTAAGACTTCATTCCCAATGCAGGGGACCTGGGTTCGATCCCTGCTCAGGGAACTAGATCCCGTGTGCTGCAACTAAGAACTGCAATTAAAGAGGCTGCATGCCACAGTGAAGACTGAAGCTCCCAAGTGCTACAAATAAGACCCGGCGCAGCAAATAAATATTTTTTTAATTTTTTTTAATTTTGTCTAAAAAATAAAATCAATTCATCCATAATGTAGATTTATTCCTGGGGAGACACTGTCCTCTAGCTCAGTAAGTATCCCCTGAGATGACATCATGTCACAGCAGAGTTCAATGACTAATGTCCATTTATTTTCTAAAATGTCAAAGATGGCCCCCCAAAAGTACATAGTCCACATTCATACTATTTAGTAAGGCAGGAAAGTGGGTACCGTTATTTTTATTTATGAAGGATAGTTAAATCAAGAAAGTATTAGTGCTCAAAAGAGGAAGTTCCAGTTCCAGAAGTTTCCTTATGTGCAGCAGTTATAAGCATTCTGACTTCAGCTTGTGGCCTCGCCCTGGTCATGGGCTGCCTCATCCACGTCCTCCGGGGAGCACAGCATTTTGCCAGGGCCCTCTGCTCCTTCAGCCTCACAGCCTGTGGGATGACAGGCATTTTGTAGGACTTCTTACAACAGCCCAGTCCTGCTCCCCCACCCACAGACTGTCCACCAAAGAACAGCAGAAAGACAGACGGTGAAGCTAGAGGTCAGGGTGGACAGAGCAGCAAAGAGGTCCTAGTATGTGGCTCAGGGACTAAGGAAGAATTAGGAAAGGAAGTGACACTGGCTAAGCACTTATGTCAGGCCCCAGGCTATGAGCTTCACGAGAACCCTCTGAGAAAGATGATGATTATGGGGCTATAATGGGTCTCATCATCTCC